GGTGATAAATGCAACATGGTAAAATGCTAATGGTGAATATATGGCATTCACTCAGATTCTCTCACTATGGCTGCATGGTTCAAGTGTTTCATAATAAAATCTGAGCAGAAGGGGGAACAAAGGCAGAACAATGTGTGTGATCCCACCAGAATAAAATGTTAAGATTTTAAGAGTATAATTATGCTGAGACGCACATTAAAAGTTTTCTTGAAGACTACAAAAAAGCCTTTAACATGACATATGGTAAATCCACAAAATGGAATATTACTTCATAATAAAAAGAAATGAAGCCCTGGATACACACTACATGAATGAACCTTGTGAACATGATGTCGAGTTAAGCCAGTCACAAAAGACCACATATTGTAGGATCCCATCTATATGAAAAATACAGAATAGGCAAATCTATAGAGACGATAGCTAGTGGTTACCTGGGGCTGGGGGGCAGGGACAACGTAGGAATGGAGAGTGACTGCTAAGGAGTTTGAGGGGTTTTAGTCTTCAGGTAATGAGAAGATTCTAAAGAGAGTAGTAGTGGCTGCATAACTAAATACACTAAAAACACTGACTCACTTACTCTTAAGTGGGTGAATTTTATAGTATGTGAACTGTATCTCACTAAAGTTGGGTTTTCCAAAAATGGAAAAAAAGAAAAAAAAAGAATTTGAGTAGTAATTACCTTAGGGCAGAGGCTGAAGACTTAGGGCTGGACTTTTATCTTATGCTTTTAGAGAATGTCTGAATTAGTTTCCTTGAGAATACAATATTGTTTTTTGAACAATAATTTTAAGAGAAAACAATTGACAGTGCAAAAGAAGATAAGGAGTGGAATGCAGGGCCTTGTGAAGAGGTAGTTAGCCAAGATTAGACTAGCGTGCTGGGGAGAAGCCCATGGAGACAGGTGCTAAAAGATCTAAGTGCATGAGTCGGAGTAAAAAACTGAAGAAGCTGGTAGCCGATAATCTCATCTTCTACTCAAGTTAAAGTGGATGGGTTGCGATTAAGAACTGGAAGAGTGATACAGAAGTCTGGGGTAGCTCTTGGAACAGACAGGGTGGTGACTGGAAATGCAAGGATGAATAAAATACGGTTCTTTCTTGAAAAAGAGTAAATTTCAGTCTTTTACATTATGGGGCATAAAACTTGATGTGTGTCCTCAGAAGAAGGCATCCTACTGTAGAGAGATCACTGTTCAGAGCAATTTGGAGTCAGAATCTTCCTTTAAGCCCTGGTAGCTGTGTGAGCTCAGAAAGATTACTTAACATCTCTAAACCTCCAGCTGTCTTATCCTTATCCATAAAATGGGCATAACATCTACCCCAGGATTGTTGTGAAAATCTAATGATGAATATAAAATTCTTGGCACAATATAAGGCATATGGATTTGATCAATGACAGCTATTGTGATTACTTATCCATACTTAAGTTACTACCATAAATAATAACTTCAGGTAATAATTCCAGTTTACCATGTGCTAGGCTTTGCCTTAATTGCTTTATACGTATTATCTAATATAATAACAACACTATAAAATAAGCACCATTTTGCCTGCATTTTACAAATGGAACTGAGGCTTAGTTAGATCAAGAAACTTTCCAAAGTCACACAGCTGAAAGTTAGCAGAACCCAAATGATCCCCAAGGGGCTCTGATTTCCAAGTCCACAGCCTTCCTATTGGGTGTTCCAGCCAGAGACATCTTGCCTGTGAGTTTGGTGAGGAGGAAGGGGGCTGGGTCTGACATCCATCCTGGTTCCGAGGTCTCATATCACCTAGTAGCAGCGAAGTTTGGCTCAAATTACATGAATAATTCCGAGTATGATCTCAGAACAGGTGAACTAGAGAATAAAAAAAACAGAAAATCTGAACATCAGAGTATGGGCAAGACTATAATCAGAGCCAATCAATAAATACTGACCAAACCACCAATAAATGCACGTATCTTAGAGCAGACTTCTGGGCTTGGGGAGGAGCACGGAGCTATGAAAGTTATATTGTTTTTAATCTGCCTTTTTAAAGAATAATATAATGAACATGTATCATAAAAAAATTAAATTTTAATTTCCCCAAGCTATCCCATAGTTTAGTCTCAATTAAAAAAAAAAAACAACACCCACTGTGACTTGATCTAATAGAAACCTACAGGATACGCTATTATATGAAAAATCTGGGAGACAGGAATTGGGACTATACATTTACTTTGCCTCCATTATTATAAATATTTGTTTACAGGCAGAAGGCAATATTACACAGATATTCCACTGAAATGAACTTAGATTTCTTTGAACCCTAAAATTTTTTTTGTTAGCAGTTTCTTCTCCTTATAACTTGCCAACAGGGTGATCTTCAGACGTTACATGTGGTTACATTTTGAAATACAAACTTGCTGAATTTACAAGGATTTTTCTCTCCCCAACTCTGGAGTTTGAGCATGAAACACTGATTAACTCTACATAGTTCCAAATCTGATGTGATTTAACTAGCCAAGAGAGAGCACACCTAAACAAATGCTTTAAAGCATTGATTAAAGACGACACTCCTCTTGTCACAATCACAGTGAGGTCTATGTCCCCTCCACTTGAATCTAAGCAGACCCTGTGACTGCTTGACCAATAAATTATGACAAGTGATGCCATGAAAGTCTCTGGGCCCAGGCCTCAAAGAATTGGCAATTTCCCCTTCCAGTCTTTATTAGAACAATCATTCTTAGAACCCAGTTGCCACCCTATGAGGAAGCCCAAAGAAGTGCCACAGGGAGACCCATGTCTTAAGAACTGAGGCCTCTGGCTGAACCCCAAGGCAACAACCAGCACCAACTTGCCAGCCCTGTGAGGGAGCCACGCTGGAAGTGAATTCTCCTGCTTCGCTTGGTAAACCCAAGCTGACACCTGAGGAACAGAGACAAGATGTTCTTGCCAAGCCCGCCCAAACTGTGTATCTGTGAGCAAAACAATTAACGGCTGGGTCATGCCACTAAGTTTTGGAGTCGTTTGTCACACAGCAAAAGACACTGGACCACTCCCCAACATTACATCCCCCTAATCATAGACTGGTTTGCTCACAAGCCTTGAACTCACAGCTAAATTGATCGAATCTCTGAGTCCTGGGGTTCAAAAGGCAACGGGGGTCAGAGACAACACAGACAAACACGCACAGCCAGGCGCCTGAGAACTCGTCACTGCTTCTTTATTAGGATGTACCCGCAGTACAGAACCTCTCACACGTCTGTGAAAGGGGAAGGTTACATCTCTCTTCAGGAGCACCTTCGTTTTTGTTTCTGTTACCACTCTGACGAAAGTAAATCATTTTCAAAGAAAGACATTTTCAATTCCAAGTGTTTAAGACCCAGCTTGCACTTTGTTGTGTTTGAAAAGGAAGTAACATAATTTAGCCAGAGCTGTAAGATTGTTTTGTGGCATTTTAACTTTGATGTGGATCAGAACTCTTCACTGTCTGGATGAACCAGTCTATAATTTTCATATGCAATTTTTCATATCAAAAATGTTTCAGTTTTAATCTCTACCCACAAACAGATGCTCTTTTAAACACACACACACGCACACATACAAACAATTAAATTTAAAACCAGTATGAACCACAGCATTTCTAACAGGGAAAATAAACTTTTGCTGCCCTCTCCTGCTAAAACAATGAAATACTAAAATACCGATAGATTTATAAAGCTAAAGCGAAATTCTCAAACCAGAAGCAATGGATATGTCATTCTCATTATACCTTGATCAAAAATCAGACAACAACCAGAAAATGTATTGATAATATTTATATTTGAAAGTTCCCCATTGATACATGAGGTCTGGATTACAACTTATTTACAATGAGTGATTTCAAAAAAAAAAAAAAAGCAAAGGGAAGGGAAGGAAGAAGGAAAGGGTTGGGTGAGAGGGAGGGGAAGGAGGAGGGAGGGGAAAAAAGAGGGTGGGAGGGAGGCAGGGAAGAAAAGGAAACCTATATTCATAGACATCATCAAATGGGATGTTTATTTCCAAGAGATACTACTGCTGCTATCGTGCACAAGAAGCAGCACAAATTAACATTCCACTAGATCAAAATTTCCTCAACTTTCTCTCAAGATGCACAATGCTTTAAGGTTTTCAAAATTAAATACCGAGAAATATAAAACGCATTGCCAATATGCCTACTACAGAAATCCTTTGCGGGTCATTCCTTAACTTCACTCAGAGAAGCAGCTGAGCCAGAATATAAAAATAAAAATATCGATGTGCAAACAAAACACCACTGATCGTGTCTGGTGCCACCTTTTGCTACAGGTGACATAACTTTGTGATCACATTGGTTATAGCATCAAAAGAGAGAATGTCTTCCTTTCCTGGGCCAGCTCAGTGCACCTAATTAAAGGGAAAGAACAAAACGAGAGGGAAAACAAAAACAAAACAAAACCAAAAAAAACAACAACAACACAAAAAACTCTGAACACTTAAAAATGCCAATAACATCCATACATCTTCCCTTTCCCACCCCACCCCAATCCCCACAAAAAAATAAAAAAGCTTTTAAAGCTCTAAATATACTTTTTTTTTTTTTCTTTCCATAGTGTGTTTGAGCCTAGGGCTATACATGTAAGTATAGCAGGTGCAATTACAAGCAGTTCCTGGCTCTGCACCCTGGACTGTCCCACGCATAGGAGGTACAAAATAAATTAAACCCTTCCATTTAGGCGAGCAAGCCCAAGATGAAGGAGCATAACCCTGCTTGTGAGTATCCAGCGGCATCGAGGGTATTATTTATTTCTTACTTTTTTTATTTTTTATTTTATTTTATAAAAAACAGATGTCAGGGAGAGCAAAATATAATAAGATTTAAAAGAACGAAAACTCAACACTGAAGGGAAACAACTGGGGACACTTGCACAATGAGAAAAGGAATGCATGCTTGATTCAAAGGAAGAGATGGGTCAGTTCACTCACATGGTTGTTCGGGGCCCCCAAGCCAGGCCCCAGCATCATTCTAAACCACAGGGTTTTTTGTTTTGTTTTGTTCTTCCAAAGACACTCTTTATCCCACCCCTGGAACCAATATGGCGGGGATGAGGTTGGAGTGACCATCACTCACTAACTACAATATTCGCTATTTAAAAAATATATTTATATATAGTTCTGGAAATTATGAAGCGAACAAAATATAACACAAAGATGCATTTGTCACAACGAACTCAAGTTGCAGCAACAGCAGAAATGTGGGAAAGGACAGAGGGAGAGAGGGCTGCTGTAAATGCAGCAAGTACAGCCTGAACTATGTCACATAGTGCAACGGTCAGATCACCTCAGTTATTCTGCGTCACCGGACACAACATGACAAACGTCACATTGTCACTTTCGGTTAAAAAAGAAAAGACAGTGTTTCTTCTCAGAAGTTGCCCTATACATTTTAGACATATATTTATAATTGCGTCTGTAAATATGTCTAAAATTTGGCTTTGTTCTTCTCAGTTTGGAATGATCAAAATACAGAATTAACATCAAGGGTATCTGTGCAGTCCTCACCGTAACTCGGAGGTCAGGGAAAGGTGCAAAACGGGATCCTCGTCTTTCTCATTTCAAATGACTGCATTTCATTGTAATGGGCAGAGATATTTCATAAACTTGTGACTTTAATGTATTCGGTCTAGAAAGATGAATTGATGGCAAACAAAAGTTTATACTGTCAAAAACGTAATGCAGAGTCAAAGCTAACGGGCTCAAATCAAAAGGGCTAACGGAGATGATTTGTTACAAATTTATTTTTTATCTTTAGTGTTTGAACTTGCACCTTTGCTCCGACACTTTTAAAGTAAGTTGTTTCATTTTGGCAGCTCCTGCCAGCTTCACATTGAATCCCCATTAATGCTCTTAAAAAAAAAACTCTACATTCCATTAAACCATGTTGTGTTGGGTGTTGCATATGACTCTTTTACGGCTGTTTCTTTTTCAGAATTAATAGCCAAGTTTTGTTTTTGTCTTACAAAGTTACTGAGATGACAATATCCATCCTTAGTGGACTTTTATGCACAAACTGTGACCTGATAATCCTGAAACGCTTAATAGGGGAGAAAGGTCAGCGGTTCCCCCCCCCCACCTTTTCCTTGGAAACAATAAAACTGCATATTCTACTTTATATTTAAGTGGAAGGAAGAGAATATACAAGTCCATGTTGATATTATATTTCTATTAAGAGCAACAACAGTTCGTATGTTCATGTTTGCTACTATCACAATTCAGTACATGAACACAGAATCAGCTCTAGGCCACGAATACTGCTGGAGGTGATGGTTTAGGATTATCAACTCACTGCGGCCATGTCCATAACAAGCAAAAGCATCCTGAAAATAAATTCCAAAACATGTTATCTTTCAGTACATAATAACGCAACTGCATCAGGTAAGTACATACTGGACACAAATTTCATCGGCATTTTATCTCCCCAAGATGTCAGATTCCTCTTCTAAATACAAAGCAGAGAGCCAATAAGGTGTATGTATAATACAGCCCTAAATTTTGTTTTGTTTTTCATTTTTTTTCTTAAACAATTTGGTCACAATGCACCTTGGATAGAAAAGCATTTTTAAACTTTATTATTAATACTCAGGACATTAGGGATTTCCAGATTTTTTTCAGTAGCATTTGTAGAACCACTTTTGGTAACAAATACAGTAGTTAGGAATACGCATCCAATTCAGAATGCATAGTAATGTTTATCCTGAATCCTTTCCGGCTAAAAACAGGGCTGGCGCTGTGATGAGATATAGAACGAGAATCTACAAAAAACACTGTAATACGTTTGTTTTTTTCCCAGAGGCTACATCCTCTTTTGCTGGAATACTTTATAAATACATATTAAAAAGTAAGGCAACAACTCCAAACAGTCCAAGCTGTTTGCTCAACTCTCTTCCCAATTAGATTCGCAATCCTGGCGATCAATTTCATGGTTGTACTGTTTAGTGTTTGTCTTTCTTATTACAAAATGGTCCAAAAAGATGTTTTCTGACATTTCTCGAACATCTCTGGTGTGTGTGCTCAATGATGTATGCAACTAATACTGGTCAGGTACTGAAGCCTATGATGTCCCAGGGCCTGTTTTCAAAGGATTCAAGACATTGATTTGGATTCACCATAAACTGATGCAGGAATCCAAAATTCCCTTCCCTACTATGTTTATCACCTCTTCTCTTTTACTCCTAATTTTAAAACTAAAGGAGTACCAGGACTACCTGGTTACTGGAAAGATGTTCACTCCAGCCAACAAAACTTTTATCAGGGACCTTTACAATTCTTGGCCCCATTCCACATGGACATTCAACTCATGAAGATGTGCAAAAGGAAAAGATGTTAAATTACAGTCAAGTTATCCAGAGGAGGATGTTATACAAACTTATAAGGAAATGACAGTCTTTTTTTTTTTCTTCCATTACTATAAATACATTTAACAGCTTAGCAGAAAGACAAGCTAAATTTAAGATTGTTCACATTTGAAAATTGTTTCATACTCTCTGCTAAGGATAAATAAGGAACTCCTGATAATAGAATTTTAACATAGCAATTTCATCAACAGATCTTTGAAGACTGCTTTTTTGTTTTTTAAAGAGGGTTAGAACAATGATCATGTTTGCAAAGTTCTGAGAAGTCCATCTACTGTCCAAACTTTGGATTGAAGTCCTTATTTTTTTTTTCCGTTACTTAGAGACAGGTATATACAGTGCTGTTGTAATAATGAAACAAATGTGAAATCTACTGCAAAGTTGTACAATACAGAAAACTGTTGCTCCATCTTCTACTACATAAATGTGTGACTCCACAGGTTAGTGATGTTGCTGTCATTGTTTCTGTTAAGTTGGAATTATGCCATCACGCCTAAGCCCTCTCTTTAATTCCAGATCCTCCAGTTTTTTCCACAGTTCTTCACGCTCTTTTTCTTTCTTTTTCTCACTGGGGAGAAAACAGAATATAAGGTAAACAACTAGGAAAGTCAGAAAAGATTATCTAACAATACTGCCCCTTTGACATACTTTTCCCCCATGTAGGTTTCACAAGTAGTCTTTGAAAAGTTTGGCATTAAGCTTGTGGGTGTTTTCTCTTTTTGGTTCTTCTCTTGCTTTTTTTTCCCCTTGATACTTACATGCACAGAAAAGGAGTATCAATGTACTGAGCAAGAGATGACAAGACTAATTTTAAGATTTCACATGAATATTCCTTTATACTTAGCTTACTGATGAAAATTAACTTCAAAACAAAAATGGGGATCATTTCTATGTATCTGTTATCTTAGAGATCCAAAGACACATTAAATGATTTTTACACAGGGTCTAGTTAAAATTTAATTTTCTGTCTCCAAATAGTTTCTCAAAAGGGAATGCTAGAGATTATACTGATACAAAGTCATAGGACAAGAAAATACACTTCCCCTTTAAGTATTCTATTTCCCCTACACTAAGTGTATTAAACTCTTTAGCAGAATCTTGTTCTTACTGGTATTAATAAACCACAATTTTATTTTGTACCTATATATATGACCAAATGAAATGTTCTTTTGTGATTTCAGTTTTAATGATCTGGAAGGATCGTTTACATTATTATGAATCAAATTTTTAATGTTCCAAGCCTTCAAATTTGGTTCAATATCAAGTTGACTAGCAATTTCCAGATTTTCAGATTTCACTGTCTGGTAAATTTGACTGAAAAACTGAATGTCCAAATTACGGTCAACAAATTTTATTTGTCAAGGACATTTTAGATCACCATAGTTTTATAAAAGAAAGGATGTTAATTTTAACATCAACCAGGTAGAAAGTATAAAATAGAGGAATATATATGACTATACTGTAAATTAAGTCAATTCCTATTAAAAATAATTCACTGCTGTCCCTAGCTTTCTCATACTGTGATGATCCACTAAACAACAGACTCAGATAATATTTGTGAATCTATAAATTCATATAATTCATGCCCTCTCTGGCATGGGGGATATGGTCCTTGTGCTACTTCACCCAGCAAGGATTTAACTTCAATTACAATAAAATATTTACTTAGGGAAGCCCACATAGGTTAAGTAAAACACATATATAAGTCCAAAGCCTCATATTTTTTAATGTCATCACCAATTTTTTAAAAAAAATTATCTGATATCGATAGCAACACAAATTAATTCATCCACTCTCCTGAAAAAAATCTCTAGAAATACCTAAGTAATCTTACATTCCCATTCCATAAGTCAGAGGAAATATTTAATTATGTAATATAATAACTAATATTATCATTTCATAATTAATTATTTCGGCAATTCAGGCCTTGTATCCTGAACTAGTTTCAGATATCTGGACTACAATATGCACAATATGAATTTCAAAGGCCATAACAATTTTTTTTTGAATGGCCAATCTAAAGCATTTATTTCCAATAAGGTAATATCATTTTCTTTTACTATTATCTAAAATAATCTGCTCTGTTTTTCCCTAATGATTTCAGAACAGTACATTTAACCAACAAAAACATCATTTAGTAAACATTTGTTTAGTATTTTTATACAGCGTGATAACAGTTCCTCGGTTTAAGAATGTTCTTCTAGTTTGCTGTTTGCCTTTTAATTTTACATTTAATTTTTTCTCAACTAAGTTGTACAATTTGTATTTGTAAAATCTCCTTTATTATACTTAAAAGGTCTTTTGCGTCCCAAGATTAAATAATCATCTTCTCTATTACATTTTATGCTTTCCTTTTTTATATTTCTCTTTAAGTTATCTTTATCTTGTGATTTACGGGTCTAGTATAATTTTGTCCCATACAGTTAATCTTCCCAGAACCATTCATTGGTTATTTCATTCCCATCCCATTAAGTTTGGGTTCTTTATTTTTATTATGCACATACCTACACATACCTGCTTTGTTCAACTAACTTGCCATTCTTCCAACAAAATAACACTTTGAATTGCCAGCCACTTGGTAATGCATTTTAGTAATTGAACAAGTTGTCTTTGCTATTCCTTTTTTGGGGCAAATTCGTGATGAAGTTTAGACTTTATTCTTCATATGCCCCCAAAATTCAAATGATGTTTAGGATTACATCATGCTTATAACTTGGTAAGAATTGACATTTTTAAAATCAGTCTTCCTAGCCCATTTACGCAAATCTTCATTTACAACATCTCTTAGTAAAGTTCTTTTCTAAGACTTTTTTCTATGGAATTGAAAGCTGAGTCTCATCTCATCTCATTACACTGCTCTAAAGATGTCACCCCAGTCACTGCTGGAGACCACTGGGGTCTCCACTGGGGAGATCCACTTTGTTACAAAAGAAACCAACTTGCAGAGACGAGGAAGATTGTGCCCCAGTAGCATTTGTTTCCCTAAAATCAGCTCTTCTCCGCCCCTAACAATTTTTGAAATGATTATCTATTGGGTAATTTTGACCCTGAAACATGGTATTTTAAAGAGCAATAGGGACAAAATTAGATGATCCTCTCATCATTATGAATTCCAGATTCTTGACTGTAAGCTGTTCGGTTAAATTAATCATTTTTGGTTTCTCGGTAAAGGAATAATACTAGGTCTAAATAAACGTTATCATGGAACACTGATAACCTTTTTATTTGGATGGAAAAGAAGGTGGTAAGCAAGGGCCTAAGAACTTTCTTCAACTAAAACACAGGTTAAATATATGTTAGGTTCATACTGACCTAATCTGAAGTTTAAATTAAGTGCTGACATCATTAAAACACTCATCTTGCTACTGAAACATTTCAGTCGCATCTTTGATCAAAAGTTTTATGGCATTCAATAAAATTTATCCTGTGGGGCTTTTCTTCCAGATGAACTTTATGCTGAGTTATTAAACATCTTTTATACTGACAACTTCATCTTCAAAAATTCTAAATATTTCTGAAATAGTTACTGTCGTCCCATTCTTTCCTACTTTTCTTTTTCTCTCTCCCTGTAGGTGGGAATTTTAAAGCTTAACCACACTGTCCTGCTAGGGATAGGGATACTGTCAATTCTCTTCCAATTTCAATTTCACATAGCACAAATGCTGGCATAGGTATCTTAGCAGTGCTAGTTATTCCACTCACTATTTTCAGATTTGTATAAAAATTTGATCTACTGCAGAGAAAGGGGAACCTTCCTACACTGTTGGTGGGAATGCAAGCTGGTGCAGCCACTCTGGAAAACAGCATGGAGGTTCCTCAGAAAGTTGAAAATAGAGCTGCCCTACAACCCAGCAATCGAACTACTGGGTATTTACCCTAAAGATACAAATGTAGTGATCCAAAGGGGCATGTGCACCCAAATGTTTATAGCAGCAATGTCCACAATAGCCAAACGATGGAAAGAACCTAGACGTCCATCAACAAATGAATGGATAAAGAAGATGTGGTGTATATAGATACATATACACACATACACACACAAAATGTATATATATACAATGGAATACTGTGCAGCCATCAAAAGAAATGAAATCTTAACATTTGCAACAACATGAATGGAACTGGAGGGTATTATGCTGAGTGAAATAAGATTCAGAGAAAGACTTATCATATGATCTCCCTGATATGAAGAATTTGAGAGGCAAAGTGGGGGGTCTGGGGGATAGGGAAGGAAAAAAATGAAACAAGATGGGATCGGGAGGGAGACAAACCATAAGAGACTCACAAAACCAACTGAGGGTTGCCAGGGCGGGCGGGGGGGGCGGGAGGAGGAGGATAGGGAGAGGGTGGTTGGGTTATGGACACTGGGGAGGATATGTGCTATGGTGAGGGTTGTGAAGTGTAGAAGCCCAACAATTCACAGACCTGTACCCCAGGTCTAATAATACATTATATCTTAATTAAAAAAAAAAATTTGAGGGGCGCCTGGGTGGCTCAGTGGATTAAAGCCTCTGCCTTCGGCTCGGGTCATGATCCCAGGGTCCTGGGATCAAGCCCCACATTGGGCTCTCTGCTCCATGGGGAGCCTGCTTCCTCCTCTCTCTCTCTCTCTCTCTCTCTGCCTGCCTCTCCACCTACTTGTGATCTCTGTCTGTCAAATAAATAAATAAAGCTTTAAAAAAAAAATTTGATCTACTCCAAAACATTTCAATTTGGTGCCATCCAGAAATAAACTCCTCCAGGTAATTCTTCTCTAAGAGCACCAAATAAATCTCTCCTTTCTCTTTTCCTGTTCCCACATCCAGGGAGAAGCCAACTGTCTATTCAGTACAATCTGCTATAGCTCGTTTGACAAAATACTACCCTTACTTAAAAAAATCCTTCTCTCGTTAAAGTCCACTCACAGTAAGTCGCTCTAATACACTAGATCTTCAGAATCAACTCTGCTGTGTCTATTCTTGGACCCCTTGGTCAACAGTACCTTTTCCAAGAATTTGGTCTATTTAGCTTAGACGATAAATGATCAGAAAACAGTTTTACCACTGAAACTCAATAAATATTAATTTAATTTCATTTGAATATTTTAGAAATAAGGTCTTCATTTGTCTTAACTGGACTCTACAGATTTTTATTTAATCCTTATTGACTAGGATAATCATTATGGGTTTTTGGTTGCTATAAAGAGAAAGGACATTATGTACAACACATTCTTTAATGGTATGCCACAGTATGAGAATGTGCTCTTTATTTCCTCTACTTAGATGACATTTTTAAAGACTTGAAGTTTGACACGAGGAGGGTTACAAATGTAATGATTTACAACACCTGTAAAAATTTAAAAGTTCTTTAAATTACAAGTATGGTACAACATATCCCATAACTGATACTTATTCCAATATTGTATAAAATATCCCAGCTTCTTCTGTCTATAGCTGAACACTTGCCATATTCCATAATTAAATTGCTCTTCAATATAACCAGATCCTGGTAATTTTTGTAAAAAAAAAAAAAAATCACTGTGATAGTCCTTTACCCCGCCACAAAATCTTTTCCCTCATTGCTCTTTTTATCAGTAAAATGCAAGTAACACATGCAAAATCAGGCAAAGCGAAGAAGCAAGGCAACCACAGACAGCTTTGATCAGGAGGTTCAGCAAGGCCTTGGGTATGAACACTCACTCGTACACATCCCTGGGATCTTCTAATACATGGTTTTGTAATACACAAAGCTGACATTTGCTTCTGGATCCAAGCCAAACCAGAAGCCCAACTATTAACAAGCTCTCTAGACTTTCCTCAAGGTCACCAAGTGTATCAATCCCATGGTCTGAATATTTGTGTCCTGTCCCACCCAAAATTCCTAGGTTGAGATCCTCACCCTCTGGGTGATGGGCTCAGCAGTTGCACTTTTGAGAGATGATTAGGTCATAAGGTTGGGGCCCTTGTGATTGGCATTAGTGACCTTATAAAAGAGATCCCACTGAGATTCACTGTCCTCTCCTATCACATGAGACATGGTGAGAAGGGGCTGGCTAAGAATCAGAAAGAAAGCCCTTATCCAACCAGGCTAGTACCACAACCTTGGCTTCCTGCCTCCAGAACTCAGAGATAAAAATTTCTGTTGTTTAAAAGTTACCCATAACTTGGTGATATTTTGTTATTAGCAGACCAAACGAACCAAGACAACATCTTTTGGGAAGTTGGACATGTTGAACAAGAAATAACAAAGTTGAAAAATCATGTAACTGAAATCAAGAAAGGCCTTACTAAGCCATAAGTGTTTATGTAAAGAGTTCAACTGGTTCTTCCTTATTTTTGGTCTCAAACATTTCAAGATTGCTAGAATACCAGACTCTTTACTTCCATATTCTTTTCATTGTCCTTTAAATCCTAATGAACTTGTGTTCTGGAGCAGTAAGTTAGTTCTGGGCCAAAGAACTAAACAAAAATGGTGCCTCACCCCTCCTGCTGCTGGGTAAATTACACAAGATGTGCTTCTAACTCCAGTTCAAATAAGTTCAGAATGGGAGTGAACCCCATAGCAAACCACCCCCGGGGAGCAGGAAACATCCCTGAAATATGCATGACATGCCAGGCCCTTAACCCTGAGGCAGAAGAGAAACATTATGGAAGGGAAGGAGGAAAGCAGCCTTTCTTAAAATGATACTTTGTTACCTCCTGGCAAGCTCATGAAGACACAGCTAATGAGCATGCAAAAATGAACATATAAATAAATTAAACTGTGCTGCTTAGGATTTCGGGTGCAATTAGGCAACTGCAGCAAAGAGCAAGGAAAGAACGCAACAGTTTTATGCACAGCTGACAAAAAAGCTTTAAAAAGTTACCGCTGACGATCTGACTTGTATGTGGCTGTCAGCTCATCAAACATGGTGCTGTTCATTTCCATAAAGGCCTTCAACACATTGTACACTAGCGCCACGATAGCCCTGGGAAGCACAGAGAAAAGAGAACGTGTTGGTTAGTCTTACAGGACGGGACGTGCACCGAGAAAGCCAGAGCACCACCTGCGCCAGAATGAATTCCTTGTATTGCAGAATCCCCATCCCTTCTCGGCTGGAACAACTAGAAAGGACCTGTGGTTCATTTCCACGGCGAGAGAGCTCTATTCTTTACTGTTCGAGGCAAGACATCTTTCTGAGGGGTTGACAGGATCAGAAAAAGAAAAATCTAATTTTGCCCTTCTAATCACGGGTACCCAGAATAGACTTGCCTGTGGGCACTTGTTAACTTCATTTAGTAAGAAGACAAGTATAAAAATAAAGCCACTTCACCCTGAAAAGGAGCACCTGTGCTAGGACTAACCTTAGAGACTTAAATTTGCACAGAATGCTTTATTATACTTATTTATTTAGAAAGGGAGATGGGGAGAGAGGCATGGGGGGGCAGTGAGAGAGAGGTGGGGGGAAGGGCAAAGGGAGAGAATCTAAAGCAGGCTCTACGCCCATCGCAGAGACCGACGCAGGGCTTGACCTCACAACGCTGAGATCATGACCTGAGCCAAAGTCAAGAGTTGGATGCTTAACTGACTGAACCACCCAGGCACACCTAGAATTTGATTTTTAAAGTGATAATACACATAATTCATCAAAATCAAAACCTGTTCTCATGGTAACAAATAATATATATGTTATTCATATAACCTCTGTAACCTCTGTAAGCTGGGTAGTTTACTACGCGTTAAGTTTCTAGTTGTGATTTGTTTCAGTTAAGTCTCCTTGCTGACCCAACACATACTCTGGTAAGGTGACTGGCAAGCTGGTGATGGCTCCTATTAGCTATGAAACAGCTAAATGGCCAAAATGGCAGCACATCTTTATCAAGAGGAAGAATAAGCTCTTGACAACATGAGGACAGTGACCGTGACAGGCTTGGTGTCTTCCAAGTAGACTCTAAATATTGCCCTTTGCAAAAATGTGCCTTACTCTTGTTTTGCTACAAACTAGCAACCAATGCTGCTGAAGAAAGCACTGGTAAGTTAGGCCATAGGTGAAATAAACCATGGGTTTGATGCTTCCAAAACGTAAATGTATTTGCTGTGTTGCTTCTGCCCTGTGCCCATTAAAAGGAAAACTTCAGCTCCCCTTCTGCTGGGGTGAATGACCTTCTCACGGACAACGGGCACAGGTGGAGAAGGGCCAATACAGAACACTGGGCAGTGACAGACTCTCGCCAGAACCACTCTCTAGGTCCTCAAGACCTAGATGAGTGGGTGACCTAGATGATGAGTCTTCACTGTTTACAAGTTCTAGTAACAAACTTTGGCAAATTTGGAGAGAACATGAACAATGACTGAGTTGGTTTTTAAGAAATGCATCATGCTAAAATGCAAATCAATTCAAGCATGTTCCTCTTTACGACTCCTAAGTGTTTCCTTATCTTCCACTGGTGAAGGTGCACGTGGGCTGCAGCCCCCTTTTTAGCCCCATCTTCCAGCATCCTCCCCAAAAGACGAGGTACTTTAGCCCTTTCAAATTCACACGTTTCAAAACCTGACAGGTGACTTACATTTTGGGGCCTTCTAATGTGAAGAAGAGACCCACACTACCAAAGCCCACCCCCCATCCCATCCACCTGCCGTATTCCTGTAAGACTTGGTTTGAGCATTACTGCCCCACCAATATCCACAAACCCCTCCTCTCATTCCACAGTATCCCCAAAATAGTTCTGCTACATTCACAAGCAAATCAGGAACCCCTCCAGTAAACAGATACTTTACAAAACAGTGTTTTTTAAATGCTGTTATGTTAAACTATCTGCTTGTGAGTCTCCCTAACACTGGTCAGTGAATTTCTAACAGATGGGCATTTTCATGTATCTGTCTTTACCAATCTTTACCAACATGCACAGCATCTGGCACATAGCAAGCACTCAAGGCATTTTATTAAGCAAAAGAGGAGGAGGGAAAGAGAGAAGGAAAGGAGAGGGAAGGAAGGAAAGTGGAGGAAGGAAGAATGGGAAGGGAGGGAGAGAAGAAGGGAGAAACTGAAAACCTACGGATTCCAATGTTCTTTTGAAATCCTATAAAGACTGGAAAACATGATGGGAAGGATGACATTGGAGTTTTCTTCTATCAAACTCATGATGTATTCATTATTCCAATAATACAGGGCCCTTTCTGCCACCTTTGAAAAAAAAAAGAAAAAAAAATATTAAGAGAGAGAAAGAGACTGATAAAGCAAAATTTAAAATCTCTACAAAAACATTTTAAGACTGTTTTTTCTATCATTCAATCAAATGTGAAGTTAAATATTTATCACACTTTACATTTTTATGGATTTCAATTTCAGAAATTTCTAAAGTGGTTCATCAATTTGCGGAAGGAAAAAAATTTTCCTGCCTATTTCTTTATGTTATCCTTTTTATAGCGCCCATTTCATCTGATTCCACATTTTCCCCAGCCAGCCCCTGAACTCCAAACATCTCTTCTTTACTTCTAGATGCACACTGCTGTCCGTGTCTTTAACCCTCTTCTGGCTCGTTTCTTTCATCTCACACACTTCCAATCACCCTAAGGCGCCAGCACAAAGCTGGTATTTGGGAAAATCTAGCTGCTCATCTCTGGAGAACATTCTTATTCAGTAAGCACCTTTCTTCTCTGGCCAGCCATGGGGCCTACTGTAGGCAGAATGTGCCATCCTTACCGCCAGGACTAGGTGCCCTTGGGTTTACTGTACAGACAAAAAAGCTGAGGCTCAGAGAGACTAATATCCTCACAAGGTCACCCTGTTGGGAAGGTGAAAACTGGGACTCAAGACGAGTGACCAGACTCTTTCCAAAGTTTATTTCCGGTCCCTTTCTTTGAACTGGGTAAGCTGGATGGGAGTCACTGTTTTTGGACTCAGAGACACTGACTGTACACGCACCTGCTTGCCATCTCCAATCTGTTTTTCTTTGACCACCATGCTATCCAACTGACTCTATGATTTCAAAGGAAGACCTCAAAAAAAATAACCAACAATCTAAAAAGTAGTCAAACCAAAAATCTCAAAAAAGTTAAGATCTCCTTTTAGAGAGAGTTTTTAAAAGGGAAAAAAAAAAAAAAAGAGTGGCTTTGTTCATCCATCCAGATTAAGAAATTACATTCTAATTTAATAAATTAAATTTAAATTAAACTTAAATTTAATAATTTAATTTAATGACATGGTATAAGATGTACCCACCAGGAGACTCTGAGAAATTAAGCCTTTCCACTTACATTATTGAACTTGTTTCAAAAAAAAAAAAAAAAAAAAATCCTGGGACTCATGAGGCACTAGACTCTGAGAGTACAAAGAAAATAATCATTACTCAATGTTTACCCTATGCCAGGCACTGTGCTAAGTGTTTCACATACATATTATCTCATTTAATCCTCACAACCAGCACATAGCGTAAGGACCATTATTTCCATTGGGCAAGTGAGGAAAATGAGCCCAGAGTAGGTAAACCCCTGCCTGGAGGCCATGTGTATCTGTTTGTTGCCATGCAAAATCACTTTCAGAGAGTAAATCAGTATCCAGTAAAGCCCCTTAAAGAGGAAAAGCACTGCTTATGCAAAGCAGAAATTAGCCGAATCAGGACAGAATCATTACTTTCCTGGGACCACTGTCGTCCTTGCACATTGGTGCAGTCTCTGACTGGAGACTCTGACCCCGATGCCACACCGGGGGGCAAGGAATGAAAGGCGTGTGGCTACACAGAGTGGCACTTAAAAAATGTTTGCTGGCTGCACCAACAAACACTTAACAAATGAGTAAAGAAGAACCTCTTTACTGTCTTTTCTTTTGTTCTAAATTTTACTTTGGCCAAATAATTTTAAATTCTCTTTTCTTTCTGCTATGAATAAAACTGTCCCCTCAAATTCATCATTGAAGCCCTAATCCCCAGTATGAGTGTATCTGGAGACAGGACTTCCCAGAAGTTAATTAAGGTTAAATGAAGTCATAAGGGCAGGGTCCTAATCCAGAGGGCCTGGTGGTCTCAAGAGGAAGAAAAGAGAGATCTTCTCTTTCCTCACACACACACCGAGGAAGGCCATGTGAGGACACTGTGAGAAGGCAGCCAGCCATCTGCAAGCCAGAGAGGGAGCCCTCACCAGAAGCAGACCAGGCTGGCACTATGATCTCAGACTTACAGCCTCCAGCATTGTGAGAAATAAGTTTCTGTGGTTTAAGCCACATGGTCTGTGGTGTTTTGTTATAGAAGCCTCCTGAAAGCTTCTGTCCCCAGAAAATTCATATGTTGAGATCCTAATCTCCAAAGATGATGGTATTGGTGGGCGGGGGCTTTGGAAGGTACTGAAGTCGCAAGCCTGGAGCCCTTATGAATGGGATTAGTGCTAACAAAACAGGCTCCAGGGAGACCATTAGCCCTTCTGCCAAGTGAGGATACAAGAAAACCACAACTCAAAGGACAGGCCTCACTCAACTGTGCTATGGCACCCCAATCTCAAACTTCCAGCTTCCAGAAACAAGAGAAATAAATTTCTGCTGTTAATAAGCCACCCAGTTGGCAGTATTTTGTTACAGCAGCCTGAGTGGACACAGCCGTGCTTACTAGACACTTTGTCTCCTTTCTAAGCTTCTGTGCATCACTTAAGCCTCCCTGGTGATCTTAAAAGAGATTTCTGGAAGAAAAGGGGGTGGGGGGGGGCTTCTGCTCCTTGCTTTCCACAATGTCAAACCTCCTGATGAAAACTGAAAAATGAGGTAGACAATCCAGAGCTTGGGGAAAAAGCCCACTGCTGAGTCTATCTCGTTAGCTGTGGGATTCTGTGCTACCAACGACAATCTGAACCATCCTTCGAATCAGCAGGCAGTATATGGAGAGTTAATTTTCAAAGTCTGTGATTCGGACCTTCAGTTAGACAGCGAAAGGACAGAAAACTTGACACATTTTCTTTCGCTCCAGATCACCCCCTTCCCTCCTGCGTGTGTTCTGCAACAAGCAGCCCCAGTTGAGAAAAAGGTTGTCAGGTTCACTTCCCTGTGATCCCCGCAGTGGCCACAGGGAGGCAGAGTGGTGCCATGGGAAGGTGACCAGCTTTCACAAGAAGCTACACCTAACTGACTTCACTCCTTAGGAACTTGCGGCCCTTAAGCAAATCATTCTGAGTCTCGAAAACAGCGGGGTTGGGGGTGAGCAGGGAGGGCAGAGCCTCGTAGGATAAAGTGAAATTTATAAATAAGGTATGAAAGGCATCTAGCACTGTATATATGCGTGTTCTCCTTGCCTCTTAAGCTTTATTTTGTATTCTCTCTTATATTCTATAAATCCTAGCAGTCCACCTCTTACTCGGCCATTTTATTGGAGACAAGTTATTTTACCACTGGGACCTTCGGTGTTCATGAGAGTGATCATGAGAACTAAAGTTACTAGGCAGAAAGCACCATCAAAGGAGCTGTCATACTGCACGTGTTCAAGACAAAGGTGGTTATGATAAAATTTATTATTGTATGAGAAAATAGCAAATAAAAAACAAGCAGCTAGTGCCCATGGCATGTCTTTCAATACAAATAAAACTTAACCAAATAACATCTGTTGCTCAGGCCACTGCGGTTCATCCTCTCTTTACTACTAACCTGAAAATGGGGGCTAGATACACACTTGGCAATTTGTTTAAACAAAGGTTCTTGAATTTTAACAAATTGTGAGGGTTCGATCACATCCAATATTTCTTCCAGCTCCCCAAGGAACATGACCTGTAAGTACATACAAAACACAAAATGTCAGGTACTTCATGTAAAAATCCAAATGAATGATGAGGATTAATTAGAGTTTATAATGTTTTAAGAAAAATTTACACCTAAAACAAAACAGGAACAAATTAGGCATCGTCTTATGTTAGATGTTCATGTCACAAAGAGTTCAGCAGAGGGCACCTGTTAAGAGCGAATTCTCTATAGTTTTGAAAGTATGATTCTATTTACTTTGAAAAAAAAAAATCCTCTACATGCTACATCTATAACCCAGAACAAGGGGCACTTACACATTGCAGTGGGGCCCCTGGGGAACAACAGCCATGTCTCCGTGGGGTGCTCCTCTCTATTGCTGTCAACCTGGCATTTGCCCCCCTACTCTTATTTTTCAAACAGTGGGAGAGCAGCCTCCTGCATGGATGGACAGAAGTTCACGGTGGCACATGCAGCTATCTGCGAAATGTTTTCAGCCCCTGCTGTGTGCTAGGAGCTCTTCTAGGGTACACTAGTTAACAGAACACAGAGAGCCGGAGACACACAAATGGGCAGGGTCACCCATACACAGGTACCACTTTAAACCCATGAGCACACACTGACCCAATCTGCACACGGACAAACGTGTGCACAACTGCTCACCATATAGCACAATGAATCCCAGCCTCAGCACCATGGGTCTCAAGAAACAGAGCTCTAATTCCCCCCCCCAAGATTTACCTATGTATTTTAGAGAGAGGGAGAGCGAGTGTGAGCTCGCAGGGCAGGGAGAGGGACACAGAGGGAAAGGGAGGCAAGAAGACTTCTCTGCTGGGAGCCTGACACAGCTGATCCCAGAACCCTGAGAACATGACCTGAACCAAAAATCAAGAGTTGGACGGTTGACTGAGCCACCCAGGCTCCCTGAAACGGAGCTTTTAGGTCACAAAATGGAGCCAAGTCAATAGCACAGTCAACTGTTTTCAATATAATGGAAAACTGACAGAGAAATAAGAACCAGTTACCTATTTAGGCATTAAAAAAATAATAATAATAATTACCTTAGGAAAAAATTAGGCAATTAAAATATGAAAAATGACCATGTTTTCCTATCTTGAGGTGCATCTGGATAGCAATATATAGCTTAATTTTGTCACACAGGTATTAAAAAATTAGATGACTTTCTGAAATTGTGTAAATTAGGGTTTTGAAGAATTGAAACTGATTGAGAAGGAGCATATTACTGTTAAAAGTATTATACAGTAAGTAGGCAGTAGACCCTTGCCATTTGTCAACATACATAGAGTTCTCCCAAAATTCTCTCCCAAATGTCAAACTGACAGATGACCTTTCTTGCTGGGCCATTTTCCACGTGGCCTCTATAGAAGAGGGAGTACAGACATGGCATCCGGCTAGCCTCACTTCTAAGCTAAGACTTACTCCCAGCACATGGCACATACTGGTTAGGTTTTGGCAAAAGTATAAATAATCGTAGGTCAGAAATTTCCAGTTCTGTGAACACCTGAAACTAAAGGTCTATAATATATTTTAAAATTGTACATCTCCATTATATTTTAACGTTGGGTATTTGGGCAGGTTGCTCTAGCATCTATCTACAGCAACACCAAAGCCTCCATCCTAGGAGTGGTCACTAGAAAGGTGACTTTGATAAAGCTAGACAGCAAGACACATGACCATGGCCTGACTAGGGTTTCCCTGGGACTGAGCAGAGCATGATGGAAGTTCAGGGTTCAGGAATCACGGTGGCGGATTCCTAATCACTTAATACTTAGCATACCCAAGCAGGCTACTTAAGCTCTCTATGCTTCAATTTGAAAACTAGTAAAATGTGAATATTTACAGTCCTGCTTTAGAGAGATAAAATGAAGATTGGATGGGACACCTGGGTGGCTCAGTTGGTTGAGTGTCTGCCTTCAGCTTGGGTCATGGTCCCAGAGCCCTGGGGTCGAGTCCCACATCAGGCTCCTTGCTCTGCAGGGAGCCTGCCTCTCCCTCTGCTTATACTCTTTCTCTCTCTCTCAAGTAAATAAGTAAAATCTTTTTTAAAAAATGAAGATTGGATAAAATAATGTATTTTTACACATTGGCTCAGAGCCTGACACTCTAGTAAGTTCTTAACACCCCAACATTAAGCACTTACCTCTTTTTGACTACATGTTTTAGGCCAAAATTTCATTAACCCCCTAATAACCTAAAATGAAAAGGAGAAAAACAATGGCAATTAATTTCCCATATATACTTCATGAAAGGTAGTCTTTTTGAAGTTTTTTGAAATTATAGAAAAAAATACTTACTGGTTCTGTGAGTGAAGGATCTTTCTCCAGAAACTGTACTATGCAATACGCCAGCTGGAGAAACAGAAAAATGAAAGACAAAATTGGAAATGCTATATACTCAAAAAGACTCAAAAGACATATTAAAACTTCCTAAAAAGTTTCTAGACTCTGGTTTTAGTAACTTCATGTTCAATTCATTTTAAAAATAAAATATAAAGTGAAAAAAAAAGCTACTTTTTCAAGCCAAAGATTGACACTAATAACACCCCAGGGGAATTTTTTTTTTTTTAAAGAATACTAAGACATGAAGTATCCAGCTAATGAAAAGCAGAAATATCACAGTCAGTATATTCTGAAAGTATCTCATTTACATACGGTCTAAGCTACATCTCATGGGCTTCCTTTCTCTTTTTGCCAACCTCAACAGTACTGGGTTTTTCTGTGTTTCTAGAAGAGTCCTAGACAAAACGTAGGCAGCACTTATTAAACACCCTGCTGACTGCCTAAAGTGGCCCGTGCGAACTGAAGCAGTTTCATGAAGAGACAAAAGGTTGTACCTGCCCCAGCTGGAGGAGGGAAGAGTTTTACATCTCTGATGCTGGCTCATCTAGGTTAAGAATTCTTTTACACGCTCATGAAATGTGATAGCCTATTTCAAATACTAGAGGCAAGATTTGTAAAAGGGCTCGTAAAGATTATTGGACAAGAAATCCACCCTTGCAAAACATTTTGATGGTGTTCTAAATTGGAAACATATGGACTAATTTTTCCTCGAAACACAGAATTTCACATTTAAAGAGGAACATTGCTCAGAAAAATGTGTGACATTTTTATACAAACTCAAAACATTCCCATTGGTTTGGAAAACTAAAATTAAAATGCCACCACATCATTTATCTGTCCCCTAGTGACATGCTCACCACACAAGGCAGTGTTAGCACAGAAAACAGACTTGGGTCAAGACAGAGTAGGCTCTTTAAAGTAATGGAGGCTAAAACTAAAAAGATGTGAAAATATTGATTTGTTGACTTGTAAGGATGTTTATTTATGCGTATAAAGTGAGAAGGAAATAGTGAATTAACTAGGGGGCAAAGAGCAACTGATAGACTAATGCAAGGGAGGAGATAAAATATTCCAGAATACTCCAAAATGATTACACATGTCCAAAGCTTTAAATCTGAAAAACCCATATATTTGATTGTACGTAACATGTTCAACATGTAATTTCGTGAATTAGGCAAGTCCTCAAAATTCTCAGGTAAAACAACTGAACAAATGCTCCTCCCACTTGAAAAATATTCCCATGGGGTGCCTGGGTGTCTCAGTGGGTTAAAGCCTCTGCCTTCGGCTCAGGTCATGATCCCAGGGTCCTGGGATCGAGCCCTGCATCAGGCTCTCTGCTCGGCAGGGAGCCTGCTTCCTCCTCTCTCTCTGCCTACTTGTGATCTCTGTCTGTCAAATAAATAAATAAAATCTTTTTTAAAAAAAAGAAAGAAAAAAAAATATTCCCATGAGTCTCCTATGCACAGAAAAACAGAGCACACATTTTAATTTTCCTTGGGAGGCAATTTATATGAGTTTTTTTAAACTAAGGAAATATCAATATCAACGAAACACTGAGTTTTGTAAACTTCTAATATTGCTTCCAAAGTAGTTGCATAAAATTCTACCTGGGCATGGAAGAGTGATAAGCTCCTGACAGTGTGTAAAGGGATCAACACTTTCACCAGAAACTGTTTGTGTTCTGCCTTAAGAGGTAAAGCAAAGCCATTGATAATACTAGGAAAAAAAAAGAGAAACATGAATTAGCAGCGTGATCACAACCAGCTAAACTGAGACAACCAGCTCCTGGAAGACCAGGTTAAATCTGAATCAGTTTCGGTTTGGTCCAAAACAACCCAAACCCCACCCAGCGACATTCAAGATTTCTGAGTTACTTCAAAGAATGCATTTAAGTAGGAAGGAAATTTAAGAAAATTTGCTTATGATAATATAGCACAGGCTCTTATGCTCTTAACACCTAGTTAGATGATTCCCAAAAGCTTTTGTAATCAGTAACTCTTTATTTTTCCTGCCCCCCAAAAATCACTGCCCTCCTCACTTATGACCTTTCCAGGTGCAGACATCATTCCTGAAGTTTCTTCTCCAACCAAGAATACCACAGACATGGCAACCCCGCCTGGGGAAGTCACAGAAAAAACCATGTGACTCCACCTTCTTTTTCTCCTCACATTAGAAGAAACTAAGTAATCACACTGTCCAGTCACATTAACCTCCCTTGTCTATAAAAACCTACACAGCAACTGTCTCTTTCCAATTCATTCCACTTCTCCCAGCAGCAGCTGTTTAAGAACTACTCCTGGGTTCATGGCGCCAATGAAAATGGCAATCTTTCCAATTTATTTTAACTTGCTTTCAAAAGATATGGCAAAGGACAGGTAGCCTAGAAACTAACGAGAATAAGATGTTGTGGAGTAACGGGTTTGGGGGCAATGAGATGTATTTTCTCTGTAGCAATGAACGAACTGTTAGCTCTTTCAGTCATTCCAGTAGAATCAGCAATGCATAATTGTGGGACAAGGAGGAACAAGAAATCATGTCTTGTAGAGTCAGTCGGCAAACATGGGAAAGCACAAATTAAGAGTGCCCCATGTACATACAGCAAGAGATGTAGGTCAGCATTTCCCTGTGCCACTTGACTCTCATTCTCAAAACGTTATTCACCTGAGATTAGCAATTAGCTAAAAATGTGCTTACCTTCCTAATATTTCCAGCAGTTCAGCTACACCATTGAAGTGTTCTGTTTCATAAACAAACCTTTTTTCAACAAGAAAAGAAAGAATAAAGTCAGTACACGATGTTCAAATATTTGAAGTTTATTTAACACTTCTATAAAACCACCAATTTTGCTTCTCCTTCTCCCCCCACCCTCCACTTACCTTAGAAAAATATTGTTAATCTGTTTTCGGATAAATGCTCTAAGACCAAGAAATTTGCCATAAATTCTGTGTAAGACTGTTTTTAAGTAGTCCCGTTCCCGAGGGTCTTCGCTGTCAAATAGCTCCAAAAGCTGTTGTAAATGAAAAGACAGTGTAGCTGTCAAAAGTGGGCTCAGGAAAATGATTTAGGAATTCTGCCACTCATTTAAAACCCCTCCCTCCTTTACTTCTTAAAAAATTTATTGAGTATCTATTAAGTGCCAGGCACCAGTAGCCAGTCTTTGGAAAACAGTGATTCATAAGTCAGGTAAGAGGCTTACATTCTAATAAAGAGACAGACACAATAACAATAATCCTAACAACAATAATAAGAGAACACAAATACAGCTTTTAGTATGATCATCATGCAATTTTCTAAGCCACCTACTTGTAGTAACCCTCCCTATAAGGTAGTTTTTGGCCTGGTTGTTTAAGCAGGCTCCACTCCAGTGTGGGGCTTGAACTCACGACCCCGAGACCAAGACCTGAGCTGAAATCAAGAGGGCAATGAACTGCCTGAGACTCCCTGGTGCCTCCCCTCCATGAGGTAGTTTTATCCCCATTTTACAGATGAGGAAATCGGAGTGCAGAAATGTTAGGCAATCTGCCCATGGTCTCACTAATGTATGGCAGAGTTGGGGTTTGAACGCAAGCAATCAAGGCCCTACAGTCTGTCATCTCAGCTGCTGCCCTGTTGTAACATAAACTACCCACGAGCTTACGTTTCAAATACACAGTTAAGAGGAAGCCATCAGCTCTACTTGAGCATACAGGTAAATGAAACAACTTAACCCAAAGCCAACATCCAAAAGTCCCCAAAAGTACTGAAAATGTTCTCTTTGTACAGCTTGGTTCTTGTTACACAAGTGTGCTAACTTTGTAAAAACCGAGATGAACATTTACAATTTCTGTATGTATGCTATATATGAATAACATTTGTTAAGTTTCTACTCATTTTTTAAAAAGATTTTTATTTATTTATTTGACAGACAGAGATCACAAGTAGGCAGAGAGGCAGGCAATGAGAGAGAGGGAAGCAGGCTCCCTGCCGAGCAGAGAGCCGGATGCGGGGCTCGATCCCAGGACCCTGAGATCATGACCTGAGCTGAAGGCAGAGGCTTAACCCACTGAGCCACCCAGGTGCCCGAGGTTTCTACTCATTTGTAAGCTAAAGTTCAAAACTGAATCCTGATATCAACATGTCAACAAAAACACTCGTACATGAGTGTTCAGAGTAGCATGATTCATAACAGCCCAAATCGGAAACAACCCTAACATCCACCAACTCATGCATGGATGAGCAAAATGTGCTCCAATGGACTATTACTCAGCCATAAAAAGGAATGACTACTGATCTATGCCACTGCATGGATGGACCTCTCAAACATCATGCTAAGTCAAAGAAGACGGACACAAAAAATTATTGTAGAATTCCATTTATGTGAAATTATCTGGACTATGCCAATCCATACAGACAGCAGAAGGAAGAATGTCTGCTAAGGACGATGGTGTTTCTTTCAGGCACAATAAAAAATGTTCTGTAATTTACAGTAGTGATGGTTGTACAAGTTGGTGAATACACTAAAAACAATGAATTATAAACTTTAAAAGGGTGAATTTTATGGTATATGAATTATATCTCAATAAAGCTTTGTTTTTTTTTAATGACAGGTTCTGGGCAGGTTCTTCTCTAGCTGAAGAACGAACCTGGAGACTGGTTTGAATTTTACTGTGTTGCTCATATATTCATTATCATCACAATAAAGCATGACTCCCTGTTCATACTTAAGTTGACTTTATAGTAAAAACATTTACTATAGTAAATGTAAAATATTTCAAGAACATATAGGCAGTCTACAAAGGAACACAGACTACCTTAATAACCAAAGAAGCTATCAAGACCCCCATAAGCATGATTCAGGTAATTAAGAGAGTAGGAGAATAACTCAGTGGGCAGTAATCAAATAAATTATCTACTTTTGCTTGCTGCTTTTCTTTGAGCAGAAGACAAAATTATAGACAAAGAATGGCCCTTCAGATAATGGCAGGAAGTACAAACTGAAGGAGAATCTTTAAAATTGGTCAGTGAGACAGGTGCGATTTTTAGCTACACGATGTCATCCATCCAACCACCCATCCAAAAAATGAGTATCTCAAATAAATATGTGTGCCTACTGAGAGCCAGCCAGTGGGCAAGGTGTCAGGGATATAATGATGAGCAAGACAGACACAATCAGCTTTCACAGAGCCTAGTCTAAATGAGGAATATAAGTAAACAAAGAGTGTAAGTGGTTTAGGATGCTAAATACATAGCAGACGAATCTACTGTATTTGGAAGGATCAGAGTGATAGGGAGGGCTTCTGGAGGAAGTTACACCCAGGCTGACCTATGAAGAAGTTAAGAGGCTGAAGTGGAAGGAGAGTGCTCATGGCTGGTTCAACAACACATACCTTCACCAGCAGCCTATCAGATGAGAAGATCCTATTAAAATACCTGCCATCTCTCTGCCCATTCAGCAGCACAATCAATCAGCCAATCAATCAATCTCTGCATATGCCAGGAACTGTCCTTGTTCCTGTGCGCACACACACCACTGAACAAACTTGGAGCCCATCGGGAAAGCAATGCGCAAGTCAACTATACATTTCCACAGGAAATAGTCTAAGAATGAAAGGTATGTGACAATTATAAGTGTAAAAAAAAAAAAAAGTCCCATGGGTTCAGTATCTCTTATCTACAACACACACAAAATGATGTAAGATCTCTAACCTAATCTTATTCCTTGTTGATGGAAATAATTCACATTTTAAGTTCTATTTTTTTAATCTGGTTTCTATTTTTAAGCATTGTAAAAGGATGTAATGAGTAATCTGCAACCAACATAAATAAGAGAAAGTCTGAGGGAGTGTACTGTTAGCAAAACCTGAATCAACTACACTTGTGTATATACTGTTAATCTTAAGAGCTTAATGAAAATAAAGTAATTGAGCAAAAATTATTTAACTAATGTTTTCATTAAGCCCTCAAAAAACATACATACCCAAGCAACTAACTTAAGTCATTTACAAAGCCACAAATAAATAACTAAATATGTGTGTGTACATATATATATAATATTCTATGAGAGAGAAAAATTACAGTATATAAATTACTTTTATGCTGCTCTACAGAACATATTTTTGATGATTTTATGGTGTAAAAGACAAAAGAAAAAGTACAATAATGCACAGGCCCAAAAACGGGGAATAGGATGAGCTCTGATTTCCAAAACAAAGTATGTCTGTGCTTAGTCATATGTACACTCCCCTCAAAAAAAGCAATGAGAAATACAATCCAGCAACTATAAATGCCCAGCGGACTGTACTCCCTACAATATAGCAACAACTTGTTGGAGAAAAGAAGCTGGAGAGTTTCCAAGGTGATTACAGAGCAAAGACAGACCTGCCAACATGCTGACTCCTAGTTTACAAAACCACCCTTCCTGAATTTAACAAACAGGGATGAATCGTACAGTGATATAGCCAAAGAACTCTCCTTTGAGCATCATTTAAAAAATCTACAGTAAAATGAGAAGGGCAAAACAAAAAAGGCAGTTAGGGTCTTCCAATCAGACAGGGAAGAGAAACTTTCTCCCCCAGAGCCTTCTCTGAGATGAGAATAAAGGAATAAAAAAGGAAGAAACACACAGAGCAGAGAGGAGTAGAGAGCAGATGAGACAAATTTGCAAATTTTTCAAAGATGGAAAGGGGATGGCAAGGGGTAACTATCTTGGGTTTCCTCTTTCTCCACTCTGCTAAGTGTTTTTCCATTCTGCCAGCAGGGATGGAAGCCAAACAAGAAGCAAGCCAGTTCACACCAGAGAACCCTTAAAAGGCTTGAGAATTGAAGACGCCAGATATATTTGATGGCAAGGGTGTGGGGAGCGAAAAAGAGGCCTGGTTGAAAGTTTGTAGAAAGAGTAACAAGACCTCCCAGAGCCATGTCCCAAGCAGTGGACTGAAGATTTACAATCGAAGTCTGGAGAGCATAAACATGCAAGTCTCTAGTCTTCAAGACACTGTACACAGTAAAATGAAAAATTTATTGAAAATAAAAGGATTAAATAAAACTCTGCATGCTGAAGAATGAGATGTTTGCTGTCTCTTAGAATGAGACTAAGCCCCCAAAATTCTAGATGAAAGTAAGGGATAGGAAGGTCCCTTTTGAGGGACCTCAGCCTCAGCCTCTTGACAGCCTCAAGAGGAAACACCTATTGATACCTACTGATATTTGAGAGTGTCTTGATGAAAGAGCAAGGTCACTGCACAGTGTTCTAAGTGTCTCTCATCTGTGTGCACGCACATAGGCATGCGTGCACAAACACACACGTTCCAACGAGGCTCTTAGATGGCCCTGAGAAGCCTCTTTGATGACTAACATGTGACTATGAAGCCAAGGATCATCAGACATCCTAACATAAAAGATGGAGACCAAAACAATCATGAAGAACTCAGAGGAAATAGCCACAATGCAAGTAAAAAACAAACAAACAAAAAAACCACGGAAAAGAACTTATCCTCAGAAATAAACAAATCTGCTGGATCCCTGAAACAAAACCAGAACTGTTATAGACGAATATTCAGAAAATAAAAAAGGACTTCTGGAAATTCAGGATAAAAAGTTCAGAAGAACTGGAACATTAAAATGAGCAAATGTATCCTGAAAGTATAACCAAAAGAAGACCATTTTAAAGAAGAAGATAACTAGAGGATCAATTCAGAAGGTCCAACACGTTCCAAAAAGGCACAGAGAATAGATACAGAGACACAGAAGCAAAGAAAATGAAATTATCTGACAAAGAATTCAATGCAATTAAAAGAAAAAAAAAAAAAAGAACATGAGTTTCAATATATATAAGGGCCATTATGTTCTCTGTACAATTAATAAACAAAGACCTGCACCAAAACACATAACTTTGAATTATCTGGACGCTGGGGACAAAGAGTAGATCTCAAAAGCTTAGACAGACAATAGGACACTGTAAAGGATAAGGAGTTCAGCCGGTGCAGGCCTCCTCAATACCAACACCAGAAATAGAAGACAATCTAGAAT